CCCGCCCCCTGGCTCCCCAAGTGTTCTGTAAACCATCTCTACAATGTTGCTACTCAAAAGTTGGGTCCTCCAATAGTGCATCAGCCTCATTCAGTAGCTTGTTGGAGATGCCTGACTCAGGAACCAGTTCAGACCTACTAAATCAAACTGGGCATTTTTAACGGGGTCTACAGGTGATTCATATGCTAGTTGTTTAAGAAGTATTGAGCTACAGGACGTGTAGGTGACAAGGTAATCTCAAGTTAGCAAAGGATAAGTGGCAAATGAAAGATACCAGAAATGCATGCCGAGGAGCTCAACTACTCCTTAGTAATTCTCCCTGTTAGGATTTGTTCAGAGATGTTCAAAAAACTGGAGAAAAGCAAACTCAGTTCTACACAAGCGCCCAGATAAAACAGTCGCTTCTGAGCACAGGACACGCAGTGCACTTGAATCCTTGAAAACAGTGCCCTCCAGTGGTATACAGAAGGAATTTGCGGCCCCCTCTCTCTGAAATAGAGCACCTGGGGCTGAGTCTGGCCTCTGTTCTCTGCCGGTGAGGTACCCTGGTCATAAGTCATTGGTGTCTCTAGGCGGGGTTTTTGGTTTTAAACCCGGCTGCCAAATAGCTAGCTCATCACCTGTGTCACTACAGGGTACACGCACAGAAATGCACAAAGCAGAAACAAAAAAGTGTTCCTTATGAGCCAGATATAATTTTTGCAAAACGATAAAACCAGAAGAAAGTGTCTGAAATAGTTTTCTACCCTCACCTTCCTGGATCCTGGCACTTTGGCAGCAGTGCTCTCCTGAATCCCAGCTGTCAGAAACAAAACAGGCTGCTTCCTTCCTTCCTTCCTCTTTTCTTTCCCCCCTTTTTTTCCTTTCCGTTCCTCATCTTCCTTCTGTTTATATTCCTTTCTCCGGAGTAACAGGTTGGTTAATTTACATTAAAAAACAAAAAAATAAAGGGTTTTTTTGTTTGTTTGTTTTGTAAATTCTAACTCGAATGCCTGCAAAGTAACCTATCAACCATTGCCTTGTTGCACGATAGTCAGTACTTGTAAGTAAATTGTTAATCAAAGACAGCTCACCAAAGCTTGTTTTAAAGGGAAAAAAAAATACATTTTTTTCCACTGAGTATTTTCTAAGTTTTAGAATGTTCCTATGCTTATATCTCCACAATGACTGTCTTTTTAAATGTTTGAATGTTTTCATTCAAATAATAAGCAATGGAGCAATGTTTTGCACTTGAATATTATTGCTCGCTTACTGAGCTTTCTTGAGCCTGACCTCTAAATTTGCCTTTTACTTTTCACCCCAAGGCTACAGGAATCCCATCTTGAGAAATTCATGGGCGATAAGGGGTGAAAGCGGGTCTCGCCTCAGTAACTCCTCTTGGCCTGTCGACTAAAAGTGTTCCAGGAGACGTCTGGGGAACAGGGGAGCCCAGAGCCCTAGGGTCCGGCGGGGGGCGGCGGTGACCGCGGGCTCTGGGGCTGGCCTTAGGAGGGGCGGGCTGCGCGCGGTCCCGGCTCCGAGGCGGGGCGGGACGGCTCGGGTTACTCGGAGCGCTGCTGCGCGCCGCGCCTCCACTGACCGGCCGGCGCCTCCTCCGAGAGCCGCACCGGGAGGCAGCGGCGCGGCGTCCAGGCGGCAGCGGCGGCTCCGCCCAGGGCAGCCCCGGGCAGCGCCGGCCGGTGAGTGTGCGCGGGCGGCCGCGGGTCGGGGGAGCTCGCTAGGGTACCTCGGGCTCTGCGCCCTGGGGGGAACGGGCTCCCAGCGCTGACTCCACTGATGCCCACCCGACCTGGGCTCTGGCGGTCACCGCCTCTCCTAGTGGGTCTGTCCCTCTGCCTCGGGCTTTACCTTCAGGCCTTTCTCACTCCTCTAAAACTAATAGCCCACAAATTTGACTTGCCCACACCTTGCGGGGATAAAGTCTCAGGATGTGTTTTCCCTTGCTTTCCCTAACTGGTTCCTTTACCCTCTGCATCTGCTGCGGAGAGATTTTTACTAGACGTTTGCCCCTCGAAGTCCCTTTGGTTCTAACCCAGCTCTTTGCTGTTTACAGTTTCGTGTTCCTAATTTCTCATGCGCCCTGACCCTTGCTTCCAAAATATTGTCATACTTCATACTTGCCCTGCTGTGGCCAGAATCGAGTCCCTCTTAGTTCTAGCCTGTTTGTAACAAAATCCAATTTAACAAAACAAAAAACGTTCAGCGATTCCTTTATTTAGCCTTCTCTCTGGAGCCCAGCGCTGCCTCGGGCTGTGTCAGAATGGGTTCTACTGGCATTTGACTCCCTGGGCAATCCACGGAGGGTAAACCGGTTTGAGACCGGGCCCCTCCGCACATCACACGACACTGCTTGACCCCTTGCTTCGACTAATATGCTAAAAAAAAAAAAAAAAAAAAAAAAAATTATGCCCTGAAAGTTGGTATTGGTTTCCTGCCTAAAAATTCATTGCCCTCCTTGTAGCAGGTGCTCTACCATAATAGTGGCTCCGAGTGTTTGAAGGTAGCAAAGGCAGTTATCAGGAAACCAATTTACTTGTATTGATTATGCCTGGTTGGGTACGTACTGGGGACCGGACCCTCAAGGAGACAAGCCGGACATTCTCAGTGGACTTTAAAAAACTGCAAGGATCTACTGCTGTGAAGAAGGCCACCACCAGATACACTGTGAGGAGGGGGAGATTCTTTTCCTGGTGTGATGAATACTGTGGGCTGATCTAGAGTCTAGAATTTTTTAAAAACTTAATGAAGACTCTTGTCAACAGCAGCAACAAAAATGGAAACGTTTGGAGGGGTTGCTGAGATTCTGCTTTATCTTATTTGAAAACTGGGAACAATGTGCATTATATTTAAACGTATTTACTAAAGTTAGCTTAGGGCCTAACCCAGAATGAAAATGGAATGGGGTTTGAAATATGCAATAGGAAATGCACATTTCCTTTTGGAAATGAAATTTGAAAGACCTTTTTAAATTTTTCTTGTGGTGCTGGGAATTGAACTCAGGGCCTTGCACCTACTAGCACTACCTCTGTGCTGCAGCCCTAGCTGAGATACTTTTTGCCAGGTGATCTAATTGCTGTAGGGTCCTATTGTTTTGTACCAGAAGGGACAAGAGGGAGGAAAACGAAATTCAAACTAATTTGCTTTAGAAAAAAACTTAGGGTAAAGAATTCCTGGGTAAGGTTGCTATGGCTGATATCAAGTGCACTGTTGGAAAGTGTTCTAGTTTGTTAAGTAACACCTGAGGTCCCAGTTCTGTTGCATAGCATTTCTTTTTTCTCTCTCTCTTTAACTACTCTGAAACTATACAGAGTTACAGGTTCCTCATTAATTTATGAGCGATACCAAAAGAATTTACTCAATCCAGTAAGTAGGTGAGTGCTGTCTGTGTAAAAGGCACGTGGCTAAGAACTGAAGATTGAAAGATTGGGGAAATTTCTAATTAAAACAGTGGGCTGATACAGGTTTGTAGCACCAGTTTGATTGAAAATCAAAATCAGTTGAGTTTTCATCTCATTTTCAATGCCTTGCATGTCTTCTGGTGGGCATTTTATTTTATAGTAGCAGCTAGTCTGCATTTTAGTTAATTCCAAAGTAAGCAGTTTTCTCAGAAATATAAATAAGAAGACACATCCATTTCTCCTGATGTTTGAATTACCATTAAAGTAATACAGTTAAAATCAACAAGAAAAGTGATGAAATGATGGTTTTCCTTTCTTTTGCTTTCAAACTAGTAAAATCTTATATGAAGGAAGACAGAATAAACATGGATAACTTTAATCCTCTGGGACCTCCCAAACCATCTTTTATCTAAGTCCATTCTTTTGGAGAATGGACCCAATTTCATTGAATCTTTTAATTCTTCTTTTGGACAGTAGTTCCAGAGGACAATTTCATAAAATCTTTCATTTTAGGTACCAAGAATGATGAATATTATTATCTACTGCTCAACTCAACCTTTGAAAACCAATTTTATTGTAGGGGACTTTGAGAGAATAGACAGGTCTTTTTCAAAATCTAGCAAAAAGTAGGGATTTCATCTCCAGAAAAAAATGCACACCTATTCAAAATGTTGGACACCTTTCAGAGGATTCCTCATATCAGGGTTAATAGATCTTGCTTTATAAGAGGGCAGATAGATAGAGGAAAATGAGAATGAAGAGGCATGTGGATAAATCCACAAACTGAGTGTATTATTCTACTTACACATGAAATAAATACCTGGCCTCTAGTGTAATTGTTCTGGATTATCTGTGAAAGACTAAAGACACTTTAATTATATTAATTTTTAATTGATATTTTAATTGATATTTAAAAGATCAGCTCTTTTTCTTGAATATTATACCATTCTCACTTTTTGTATTTTGCTGTTTTGAGTGCCAGGGATTGAACCCAGGGACACTCTACCACTGAGCTGCATCCCCAGCACTTTTTGTTTTTATTTTGAAAGTTTTTGCTAAGTTGCCCAGCTGGCCTCAAACTTGTGATCCTCATGCCTCAGCCTCTGGAGTTGCAGGGATGTGCTCACTATACCTAGCTTTATTTTTAAATTTTTCTTGCTTTTCTCAAGAAAAGTGGTTCTAAGATTTGTTCCCAGTACTAGTGTCCTATTTGGGGGAACAGTTTCTCACACATGATTTTCTACCCTTGACTTACTAAGTATGGGAATGGTTGAATTAAAAAATCAAGGAGTCCATCTCCCTCAAACCATAGCAGTTCACCTTTAGGAAGATTTATTTGTTTATTTATTTATTCAATTTTTATTTATTTTGTAAGTATTAAAGTCTATGTAAACCACTGTGATAACAGTAGCTGTATCTTGGAGTGGGTTGGAATTAGGAATTAGAAATCAATGAACATGGGCTGGGGATGTGGCTCAAGCGGTAGCGCGCTCGCCTGGCATGCGTGCGGCCCGGGTTCGATCCTCAGCACCACATACAAACAAAGATGTTGTGTCTGCCGATAACTAAAAAATAAAAAATACTTTAAAAAAAAAAAAAGAAATCAATGAACATTTAGGCATGACTTCTAAGAACAAACCAGCAGTTGCTGTGTTAACTCTCTTTCTTCTTTACCCAGGGAAGGAGTAAGCTGTCCCTTCAACTCTCAGCCCCACTAATCAAGGTTTCACTGAACTGCACTGAGCTCCCAGCTGGGGATTCTGTCCCCTGCCTCTTGTACTGCACATTGGATCTGGGTAAGTAAAGGGCCTCCTGGAACTAGTAAAATGAGACAGTGGGACATAGGTAGTGACAAATTTAATCTAGATCAAAGGGATCCTTAAATCTCCAGAGGTGTGATTCATACACCACTATTTGGAAGAAAAATATAAAAGAGAATGCCAAAATCCTCATACCTTATCCTCACCTTTGAACTTAGGTCAGGATCAGCTTAACTGATCCTGATATATAACTTAGATATCAACCAGACTTGGTTGACCTTATTCTTGACTGGCAATTTGTGACTGGTAATCAAGTCTAGAATATTATTGGTAGATGTTTATCGGATGTTTAAATTCATGGAGATCATGGCTTTAATCCAGGCCCTTCTAGGCATGGGTAGCTAGGCATATGATCTTGGGCAAGTCAATTAAATTCTTTGGACCTTGGTTTTGCTATGTATAAAAGCAGGCTGGCAGCTGGGCGAGGTGACACACACCTGTAATCCCAGTGACTCAGGAGGCTGAGACAGCAGGATTGCAAGTTCAAAGCCAGCCTCAGCAATGGTGACACTCAGTGACACTCTGTCTCTAAAAAAAAGTAGGCTGACATATGGTACCTGTGTTTCTCAGCTACTAATATGTAGGCCCATTATGCTTTCATCACCTGAAAGTTTACTTGGAAAAAAAAAAAAAGATTTTGATTTAAGTGGACTAAGGTAGGCCCAGACATCTTTTAAAAGTTCCTCTAGGAAATAATAATACCCAGTCAAGATACAGAATCACTGGGTTAAATAATCACAAAGAACCAATTCTGAGATTCTATAATCTTAGGACAGAAAGCAGACCCAAAAAAAATCTGTTACATATTATGTCACCCTTGCATTACCTACACTCAGGGTAACCAAGCCTGAACTATGCCCTGTAAGCAGAAGTCCAGACCAAGACATTTCAGTGAGTTTAGAGAAGGGACTGCTCCTTTTCACCACCCAGAGTGCTTTGAGTTTTCAGCTCCTGGTGCATTTTGATGGGCTGAATTGGATGTAACTCTGCCTATCTAAAATGATCCTCTGTTCCAAAAGGCCCCCTGGGACGATTACATCTCTTTTCTAGGTATCCATGCCAGCGTTTAATAGCCTCTTGAAATTGTCTCCTAGAAGTGATCTGTGACTTGTTGGGGTAGGGAAGAAAGGTGTCAACAAGGGATAAGGATGATCACCTTGATTGTAGCTGAAATGTGAGCTAAGATCCTCAAACCTTCTCAAGTAATCAGACTATCGAGTTACCAGAACTGGGAGAGGGGAAAAAAAAAAAAGAGCACATTGTTTACTTACTTGTTCAGGGCCTAATCTTGTTGTGGTTACATTGAAACCTCTATAGATGCTCATACTTAGAAAACTATTCTTGCTATAAAGATATGTTATTAAAGTGTAAATCCATGATCTTTGTCTTTCCTGCTCTTTGTTTCTCCTTCTACATATCTGAAAATACCTCAAAGGCATGTCAGAGAGAAGGACATGAGTTGACACAAAAATGGGAAGGATTAAGCCAGGGTAAGAGGCACGTGCATTACAGGGAACTATATTGAATTTCTCTTTGGGTTAATCTGCTACAAACTTGTTTTCAAGCTTTCTGTGATGTAGGCAAATCATCATATCCTATTTGCTCTGTGTTGGTGAATGTGGGCTTCTGGCCCTTGATTCCTGCTTGTTCCCTGCAGTCTTCCATATGCAGTGTGTGGAATGGTAGCTCCAAGGGTGAGCTGGTGACACCCACACACTTGATATAATCTAGTGTTCACCAATACCAGGGCCTGATTGAATACTAAATGATATTTTAATATTAGTATTTGTTGGAGAATACTTTTTTCTGGAGTGGAAAGCTACCAGCAGTGGAGTTCTTTGCCTTGTATCTCAGAGGAGCTGCCCATCCCTGATTTTAAAAATCCAGTGCATACCTACAGAACCAGCTCAGCCTCCACCTTGCCAGCCACCTAGAGCTGGTTTACCCATTGCCATTAAAAAAATGCATAAATAAAATTCTAGCATTGCATTGATTTTATGTCTTTCTCACTGATCATTGTTCCCAAAGATTTTATGGTATTGGCACGTGCTGTTTTATGATTTCATAATTTATTCTTTGCCCGCTTCTTAAAAGGAATTAAGGTAGGAATAAAGGCACTAGGAAAAGATGGATTTGTCACCATAACCTTAACAATGATGAAAAATTTGCTAAACTCAAAGACTCATTAATATGTTTACATATAAACATTTGTTCTCCAATGCATCTAACTTTTTAAATTTTTTAATTGCTTTTATTTTTTAAATATATGACAGCACAATGCATCACAATTCTTATTACACATATAGAACACAATTTTTCATATCTCTGTTTATATATAAAGTATATTCACACCAATTCATGTCTTCATGAATTGAATGAAGATGAATGAATTGAATGTCATGTCCATCACATTCCACCATCAGTGCTAACCCCCTCCCCCCTCCCTTCCCCTCCTACCCCTCTGCCATATCTAGAGTTCCTCTATTCCTCCCATGCTCCCTCTCCCTACCCCACTATGAGTCAGTCACTTATATCAGAGAAAACATTCACCATTTGTTTTTTGGGGATTGGGTAACTTCACTTAGCATTATCTTCTTCAAAGCCATCCATTTACCTGCAAATGCCATGATTTTATTCTCTTTTATTGCTGAGTAATATTCCATTGTGTATATATGCCACATTTTTAATCCATTCATCTACTGATTTAGTTCCTCAAAACAATGAAATGTAAAATAATGATAAATGATAGAATTTCTTAACTAGTCCCTGTTTTATTGAGCACTCTTAACAACAATCTCCAAAGGTAGCAGGGTTTTTCATTTCTTCCTCTCTTTCCTTCTGCCTTGATTCACTCATTCATTCAACAAATATTTAATGAATTCTAATGCCATTTTCCTGTAGCTTCCATTCTCATGAATGGAGGAGGGAAGACAAAATAAAGAAATAAAATGTAATATAGGTTAGATGATGAAAATGCTAAGGCAAAGCTGGGGAAAAAGCAGTGGTGGACTCGTAGTACAATTTTTTAATCAATGCTCACAGAAAGCTTCCTGTGAGTAAGTGATATGGAACTAGAACAGAGGTGGTAAAGGAAAAGATTATGAAGCTATCTGGGAGTAGAGTTCCAGACAGAGCCCCTGAGTCAGGTGTGCCTGACACAGTCAGAGAGCAGCAAGAGAGGTCCCTGTGGCTGGAGCCCAGGGACAAGGTGAGAGGTAGAGGGAAATTTTTTAAAGTCAGCCAAGAAAGGAGCAGTTGTGGACAGGAGTTTGGGAGGATGGCTGAAGAGCATCTAGGGCCTTGTAGTGCCTTGTCAGTGGGATTCTTTTGTTTTGTTTTGTTTTGTTTTCCTAAGTTCTCAATGGACCTTTATTTAATTTATTTTTTATATGCAGTGCTGAGATTTGAACTCATTGTCTCACACATGCTAGGCAAGTGCACTGAGCCCCAGCCCCAGTCTGTCAGTGGGATTCCTAAGGGATGATGTGAAGATAAGGTTTCCTGCTGTTTGATCAAAATAATAGCAGTCCTGTGTTCTGTTCCCTCTGTGTTACTGCCTCTAAGCATTCCCTTAGCTTTTATTTTCGCCCCCACCAAACTGGACTTTTCTCAGTATTTCCTTTGAAGTTCCTTTTTCCCCAGGACTGACTATGGAGTGGGCTCCACTCTCCCTTTTCTTCCTTTCTTGTTCCCTGAAGATAAGGCTGGCCCTTCCTGTTTTAAGGAATGTGCTCCTAATTGCTAAAGAATAAAACCCATCAGGTTATTTCATGAGATAAATTTAACGAATTTGTACAAATCATTCATACTGCAGAACAGACACACAGTGTTGTGTTGTTTTGGGGTTGAGGTTAGCCTCTCTGTTTTGGGTCTGCCCATTGTTTCCTTAAAAACCAGTATTCATTTCCACCATTGAAGATTAAAAATATTTTTGTAAAAGTGTAGTTTGAAGTTATCTTTAAAAACTGGTTGTTCTGCCAGCTGCCAGGTATGGTGGTACATGGCTGTAATCCCAGCATCTTAGGAGGCTGAGGTAGGAGAATCACAAGTTCAAATCCAGCCTCAGCAACAGCAAGGTGCTAAGCAACTCAGTGAGACCCTGTCTCCAAATAAAACACAAAATAGGGCTGGGGATGTGGCTCAGTGATTGAGTGCCCCTGAGTTTAATCACCAGTACCCCCCCAAAAAAAAAATACCTGGATGTTCTATATGAAGTTCTAGAATAAGCATAACTAATACATGGTAATAGAAATCAGAACCATGGTTGCCAGAACTGTGGTAGGGATTGACAAGGTAAATTTCTGGGTGATGAGAATTCTACTTATAGAAGCCAGAAAGGCACACACAGTAAGACTCATAAAACCATATGCAGATCTGTACAATTCACTCTATGTAAATGAACTTCAAGATAAAGAATGTTTTAATTTTTGAGTTAATAGTATTGTTAATTGACAAATCATAATTATATATATATTTATGAAGTATGATATGATATTTCAATATATACATATACTATGGAATGATGAAATCAATCTAATTAACCATTACCTCATTTACTTATTATTTTGTATGGTGAGATATTTGAAATTTACTCTTTGTCCTTTTAAAATACACATTACATTATTATTGGCTGTAGTCAACTTGCTGCACAACAGATCTCAAAACTTATTCCTCCTTTCCAATTAAAACTCTGTATCCTGTGATCAACAACTCTCCATTCTCTCTCCCTTTTCCACCTATCTACCTGCCTCTGGTAACTGTCATTCTACTCTCTATTTCTGTGAGTTCAGCCTTTTTAGATTCCATATGTAAGTGACATCAGTGGTATTTCTCTTTCTGTGCTTAGGTTATTTCATTAGCATAATGTTCTTCAGATTAATCATGTTGTCACAAATGACAGGATTTCCTTATTTTAAAGCTGAATAGTATTCCATTGTGTGTATATAGCACATTTTTTCTGTCTATTTATCTGCTGA